ACTCACTGCCCATATTTCCACTTGAGGCAATATGAGTTGTTGTGACAGCGCAATCAATCCAGCAGCATTGGCTTCGCGAACTTCTAGCCGGCCTGTGTAAATGTAGTCCATTAATGTTGTAGCAACTCTAGAGGGCATTTGTTATTAAACATGAGCTAGTACTCGGAAGAAATTGTTGGCCACTTGAGCACAACAGCCTGGTTTTTCGTTAGGGTTTCACAAAGGGTATTGCACAATGAGGGCACCCGGGAAGCAAAAACAACCTTGTGTGCATACAGCTTGACGAAGTCTTGTAGCTTTAAATGAGAGGCGAGTTAGAGATGCATGTTATACACCTACCTCGATAGTCAAATCGGTCAACTTGCTAGTCATTCGAAGACTGTTTAATTCAGGAAGGCATCTTATAAGTGCCGGTTCATCTTCAAACATCTGAGTCTCCTCGTTGGTCATTTTACCTGCAAAGCAAAACGCTAATATGGAGATAAATGTAGTTAGTCTTCAAAGGACAAATGCATAAGCATAAACTAACTGCACGCGGATGCATTTCTAAAAACTTTTTTATGCTTTATTTTCGTAAATCGCTCGGTTTAAATTTAGAGGCGAAAAGCTTTAAAGTATTACAGCGCCAATCATGTCTGATATTGATTCGCTGTCTTGTGCGTGGTTATGGTCTTCGTTTTCTAAGCCGTATTGAAATCTTCAGAACATATAGGTTACTTTTCCCAATCCACCTAAACGGACCCTTATTTGTATTCCCACCAATTCGTGGACTGATCGCCAGTCTTCTTTGCCTCTAATCCCAGCAGGTTTAGCGAGTTTGGGTGATGTCAGTGTGTGCCTACTTGACTCAGCTGTTTGCTCCATTCCTTTCATAACCTCTAAAGCGAAACGGCCGGCTATTGCCATAAAGGAGAGAAGCCCTCACGCTATTAGCAAGTCCGGTCATTTCAAGTAAGTCTTAGCTGTGTTAAAAGTTCTTGAAGCCTTCTGTGGGGTATGTTGCAGTGCAAACCATTTGTTTATTTCCCCAAATGACTCTTGTCACTCAAGTTTAAGCATGGTCTGGTCGTTCAGCATTTGATTGCATTAGTTTGTTCGGGTTTTTACTCTAATATTCATTGTCAGAAATGACGGTGAGTGGAGGCGTGTAGGTCAGCTCTCGGTGGGGTTTGAAGGTATAAAAACTTAACTCGAGGCATTATCGAGTGCAGCTGTAAAATCCAATATCGAAGATCTAACAAACACTACTTGTCATGCCTTAAAGGAACAAATTTCCTCCCATTGCAACGGCTCATTAGAGAATTCTCGTTTTACTTTTTCACTAACTGCATTTTCGATTTTCCATGCAATCAGATTACTAAGTCAGTATGTCAATGTTATGATGCATAAGCATTTTAATTGGGGCCACAAGAGGAACAATGTGAGCCACAAACAATCATAATGTGGAGAGACTTTTGTCAATCAATGACTTCTAGCTTTAGGAAGGGTGATAATATATACTCTGATCGCGTGAAGCAGGCGTTTGTAGCTTAGCGGTAGAGCATTAGCCTCCGGCAAAG